CGTATCTGTAAAATGTACGGTTAAAGGGCTTTTTCGCATTTTTTGCAGATTCGCACACATTGGAATGTGGCTTAGTCCTCCGAAGGCTTTCGTCCCACTGACACCAAATTTGCTCAGGCCAATCTACACCCCATGGCCATTCAAAGTTGTAAAAATCATGACGCTGCACCCCACGGTCTACGTTCTAGGGGGCGCCAAAGAGGACCCAAATATCCACATTTTAAAAAGTCTTATAACTTTTTAGGGCCCGAGCCAGCTGCAGAGCAGCCGGGCGTAGGCCCTATTATTCCCCAAGTGGTTTTTCTTTGTTTCTTTCTTTCTTTTTAGGGCCCGAGCCAGCTGCAGAGCAGCCGGGCGTAGAGCCCTATTATTCCTGTATAGGTTTTTCTTTCTTCTTTCTTTAGGGCCCGAGCCAGCTGCAGAGCAGCCGGGCGTAGAGCCCTATTATTCCTGTATAGGTTTTTCTTTCTTCTTTCTTTCTTTCTTTCTTCTTATTTTTCCTCCCCTTTGAAGGGGAAAATGGCCCACTTCCCACTGGCGAAAACTCAGGAAATTTGGCAGGACGACCGGGCCTGGTGAAAAATTCGATATTCTGAAGTCGCCCAAACAATAAAATGCAAAATGGCTCCATAGCGCCCCCTAAGGCGAAAATTCACACTATTGACTGTCACGCCTGTACGCTTTGTCATATTGACACAAAAATTGACACACACATGTATCTCAATAAGATCTACAAAAAAGTCAGTGCGGGCGTATCTGTCAAATGTACGGTTAAAGGGTTATTTCGCATTTTTTGCAGATCCGCACACATTGGAATTTCGCTAACTCCTCCGAAGGCTTTCGTTCCACCGGCACCACATTTGCTCAGGCCAATCTACACTCCATGGCCATTCAAAGTTGTACAAATCATGATGCTGCACTCCATGGTTTAGGTTCTAGGGGGCGCCAAAAATAACCCAAAAATCCACATTCTTAAAAGTTTTATAACTTTTTTTTTTGTCCTCACTGGCCTCCAAGTTTTCTAGGATGATGCAATGTCCAGCCATCAACACATTTGTAAAGGAATTTTTACTCCCCAAAAGAGCGCCCCCCCATGGCAGGACAAAAAATCAATTTTTTCTTGTCCCCTAAGGTGAAAATACACATTGTTGAGATTCACGCCTGTATGCTTTGTCAAAATGACACAAAATTTGACACACACGTGTATCTCAATAAGATCTACGAAAAAGTTAATGGGCACGTATCTGTAAAATGTACGGTTAAAGGGCTATTTCGCATTTTTTTGCCGATTCGCACGCATCGGAATGTAGCTAACTCCTCCTAAGGCTTTCGTCCCACTGACACCAAATTTTTGTCAGGCCAATCTATACCCCATGGCCATTCAAAGTTGTAAAAATCATGACGCTGCACCCCACGGTTTACGTTTTAGGGGGCGCCAAAGATGACCCAAATATCCATATTCTTTAAAGTGTTAAAACATTTTATTTTTGTCCTCACTAGCCTCCAAGTTTTCTAGGATGATGCAATGTCCAGCCATCAACACATTTGTGAAGGACTTTTTTCTCGTTAAAAGAGCGCCCCCCCCCCCCCCCATGGCAGGAGAATAAAGTCAAGTTTTTCCTGTTCATCGTTCAATGGCTCAAACACATCGCTCTCTCGGCAAAAGCGAAAGGAGAAGCAATTTGCCATTTGGATATTTCCTAGCTGTGTTTGTGCCCTCACTCGTGGTCCAGACTTTTTTCAAATAGGACATGTAGTTTTTCTGCAGCCAGCGTTTCGGTAGAAACTGCGCCTCCCATTCATTATAATGGGAAATGACCAAAGACAGGTGTGCACACTATCTTTGGACCTCGACTGTGACGTCACAGTATGACATTCAAATGTTATTTGACCTCTGACCTTTGGTGGAGACGTGAACCTTTCAACCTGCAAAAACAGCGTTTCAATAGCTCTTACGGCTTTTCTACAAATACACTTTGTTCTGCTGCTCCTACTGTCTCTTCAGAGCTGCTTCACAGATCATCAAAGAGTGTGCATGTGTGTAATAATATAATCATTTTTAGTGACAATGATTTTTAGTGACATCATACATTTGTTTTTTTCAGCAGAGGCAGCCACCTTAAATGTTGACGTGTGTTTTCTGCAGTTGCATCACATGGCCACAGGGTGCCAGTGTTGGACTCATTTTCCAGGGTCTATTGTTGTTGCTAACATGTATTTGTAAAATCAAACCCCTATTTTTATAATAGAAAATGTCCTGTGAAGATTTGTCCACTGCAGTGACCGTTATACGTGAAAGGGTTAATTGTGTAGTGGAAGTGTTTAGTGTTTAGGATACACACACACAGACACACACACACACACACACACACACACACACACACACACACACACACACACACACACACACACAGAGTCTGTTTTTTAGCACCTGCAAAAACATGCTATTTACATATTAGACAGGAATGCAGAGGCTTGCCCCTGAAAAAATCAAATGTCAAACGCAAATTGGCTGGTCATTTCTCCAAAAGACAACCATGAAGCGCTATCTAAACCTGAAGCATGCAGTTGCTGCATGTGTACAGTAACCTGAGGGGAGTGAGGTGACTGCTTCTGAGGAGAACATGAGCAGTGAAGATTCACCTTAGAGCCAGAACAGGGACGTGCACATGATTATAGAGGGGCAGGGGCTCAAGTCTTTTCCAGTTCTTTATACAAAATGGAAATTAATGTGAAATTAAAAAACAAAGTATTAATAGAAAGGTAATGACTGTCCTGTTTAGATGACAGTGATATCCAATAGGCTAGGCACTCACGAGGCTGGCTGTGGCAAGTGTAAGTGAAAGCAACACGCACTGGCAGGAAGAACAGCAAACGCCGATGAAGGAAAAGGGTCCTTGCAGTGATGGGCGTTACCAGAGAGGGCGATGGCCAGAGGACGCGAATGGGACGGGGAGGCAGCGCGTTGGGGGGGGGGGGGGGGGGGGCGTGACACGGCTCGGGCCCGCCAGTGCCCCAACGGGGCCCTAGTGTTATTATTATTATTAGGGCCCGAGCCAGCTGCAGAGCAGCCGGGCGTAGAGCCCTATTATTCCTGTATAGGTTTTTCTTTCTTCTTTCTTTCTTTCTTTCTTTCTTTCTTTCTTTCTTCTTATTTTTCCTCCCCTTTGAAGGGGAAAATGGCCCACTTCCCACTGGCGAAAACTCATGAAATTTGGCAGGACGAATGGGCCTGGTGAAAAATTCGATATTCTGAAGTCGCCCAAACAATAAAATGCAAAATGGCTCCATAGCGCCCCCTAAGGTGAAAATTCACACTATTGACTGTCACGCCTTTACGCTTTGTCATATTGACACAAAAATTGACACACACATGTATCTCAATAAGATCTACAAAAAAGTCAGTGCGAGCGTATCTGTCAAATGTACGGTTAAAGGGTTATTTCGCATTTTTTGCCGATCCGCACACATTGGAATTTCGCTAACTCCTCCGAAGGCTTTCGTTCCACCGGCACCACATTTGCTCAGGCCAATCTACACCCCATGGCCATTAAAAGTTGTACAAATCATGACGCTGCACCCCACGGTTTACGTTCTAGGGGGCGCCAAAGATAACCCAAAAATCCACAGTCTTAAAAGTCTTATAACTTTTTATTTTTGTCCTCACTGGCCTCCAAGTTCTCTAGGATGATGCAATGTCCAGCCATCAACACATTTGTGAAGGAATTTTTACTCGCCAAAAGAGCGCCCCCCCATGGCAGGAGAAAAAAGTCCATTTTTTCTTGTCTCCTAAGGCGAAAATTCACACTATTGACTGTCACGCCTTTACGCTTTGTCATATTGACACAAAAATTGACACACACATGTATCTCAATAAGATCTACAAAAAAGTCAGTGCGAGCGTATCTGTCAAATGTACGGTTAAAGGGCTATTTCGCATTTTTTGCCGATCCGCACACATTGGAATTTCGCTAACTCCTCCGAAGGCTTTCGTTCCAAAGGCACCACATTTGCTCAGGCCAATCTACACCCCATGGCCATTAAAAGTTGTACAAATCATGACGCTGCACCCCACGGTTTACGTTCTAGGGGGCGCCAAAGATAACCCAAAAATCCACAGTCTTAAAAGTCTTATAACTTTTTATTTTTGTCCTCACTGGCCTCCAAGTTCTCTAGGATGATGCAATGTCCAGCCATCAACACATTTGTGAAGGAATTTTTACTTGCCAAAAGAGCGCCCCCCCATGGCAGGAGAAAAAAGTCCATTTTTTCTTGTCTCCTAAGGCGAAAATACACATTGTTGACTGTCACGCCTTTACGCTTTGTCAAAATGACACAAAATTTGACACACACATGTATCTCAATAAGATCTACGAAAAAGTCAATGCGAGCGTATCTGTTCAATGTACGGTTAAAGGGCTATTTCGCATTTTTTGCCGATTCGCACACATTGGAATGTGGCTAACTCCTCCTAAATCTTTTGTCCCATCGGCTTCAAATTTGCTCAGGTCAATCTACACCCCATGGCCATTCAAAGTTGTACAAATCATGACGCTGCACCCCACAGTTTACGTTCTAGGGGGCGCCAAAGAGGACCCAAATATCCACATTTTTAAAAGTCTTATAACTTTTTATTTTTGTCCTCACTGGCCTCCAAGTTTTCTAGGATGATGCAATGTCCAGCCATCAACACATTTGTGAAGGAATTTTTTCTCCCCAAAAGAGCGCCCCCCCATGGCAGGAGAAAAAGTCAAGTTTTTCCTGCCCATCGCTCAATGGCTCAAACGCATCGCTCTCTCGGCAAAACCGAAAGGAGGAGCAACTTGCCATTTGGATATATACTAGCTGTGTTTGTGCCCTCACTCATGGTCCAGACTTTTTTCAAAAAGGACATGGAGTTTGTCTGCAGCGAGCGTTTTGGTAGAAACTGCGCCTCCCATTCATTATAATGGTAAATGACCACAGACAAGTGCGCACACCATCTTTGGACCTTGAGTGTGACGCGATCGGGAGGGGTAGGCGGTCGCGCTGGGGGCGGCGCGACACGGCTCGGGCCCGCCAGTGCCCCAACGGGGCCCTAGTTATTTTTCCTCCGCTTTAAACTGGAAAATGGCCCACTTCCCACTGGCGAAAACTCATGAAATTTGGCAGGACGACCGGGCCTGGTGAAAAATTCGATATTTTGTAGTCGCCCAAACAAGAAAATGCAAAATGGCTCCATAGCGCCCCCTAAGGTGGAAATTCACACTATTGACTGTCACGTCTGTACGTTTTGTCATATTGACACAAAAATTGACACACATATGTATCTCAATAAGATCTACAAAAAAGTCAGTGCGGGCGTATCTGTCAAATGTACGGTTAAAGGGTTATTTCGCATTTTTTGCCGATCCGCACACATTGGAATTTCGCTAACTCCTCCGAAGGCTTTCGTTCCACCGGCACCACATTTGCTCAGGCCAGTCTACACCCCATGGCCATTAAAAGTTGTACAAATCATGACGCTGCACCCCACGGTTTAGGTTCTAGGGGGCGCCAAAGATAACCCAAAAATCCACATTCTTAAAAGTCTTATAACTTTTTATTTTTGTCCTCACTGCCCTCCAAGTTTTCTAGGATGATGCAATGTCCAGCCATCAACACATTTGTGAAGGAATTTTTACTCCCCAAAAGAGCGCCCCCCATGGCAGGAGAAAAAAGTCAATTTTTTCTTGTCCCCTTACATGAAAATACACATTGTTGAGTGTCACGCCTGAACGCTTTGTCATATTGACACAAAAATTGACAATCATGTGTATCTCAATTAGATCTACGAAAAAGTCAAAGAGCGCGTATCTGTATAATGTACGGTTAAAGGGCTATTTCGCATTTTTTGCCGATTCGCACACATTGGAATGTGGCTATCTCCTCCTAAGGCTTTCGTCCCACTGATACCAAATTTGCTCAGGGCAATCTACACCCCATGCCCATTCAAAGTTGTAAAAATCATGACGCTGCACCCCACGGTTTACGTTCTAGGGGGCGCCAAAGATGACCCAAAAATCCACATTCTTAAAAGTCATTTTGGCCACTGCAGGAGTACAGAGTACTGCAGTTCTAGGGGGCGCCAAAGATGACCCAAAAATCCACATTCTTAAAAGTCTTTTTGGCCACTGCAGGAGTACAGAGTACTGCAGGATACACACACATGTACACACACGCCAACACACACACACACACACACACACACACACACACACACACACTCAGAGTCTGTTTTTTAGCACCTGCAAAAACATGCTGTTTACATATTTGACAAGAATGCAGAGGCTTCCTTTTGCCCCTGAAAAAAATCAAATTTCAAACACAACTTGACTGGTCATTTCTCCAAAAGACAACCATGAAGCTCCATCCAAACCTGAAGCAGATAGTTGGTGCATGTGTACAGTAACCTGAGGGGAGTGAGGTGACTATTTCTGAGGAGAACATGAGCAGTGAAGATTCACCTTGGAGCTAGAACAGGGACGTGCACATGATTATACAGGGGCAGGGGCTCAAGTTTTTTCCAGTCATTTATACAATATGGAAATTAATGTGAAATTAAAAAACAAAGTATTAATAGAAAGGTTATGACTGTCCTGTGTAGATGACAGTGATATCCAATAGGCTAGGCACTCACGAGGCTGGCTGTGGCAAGTGTAAGTGAAAGCAACACGCACTGGCAGGAAGAACAGCAAACGCCGATGAAGGAAAGGGTCTTTGCAGTGATGGGCGTTACCAGAGAGGACGATGGCCAGAGGACGCGAATGGGACGGGGAGGCAGCGCGTTGGGGGGGGCAGCGCGACACGGCTCGGGCCCGCCAGTGCCCCAACGGGGCCCTAGTTTCTTTCTTTCTTCTTTTTCCTCCCCTTTGAACTGGAAAATGGCCCACTTCCCACTGGCGAAAACTCAGGAAATTTGGCAGGACGACCGGGCCTGGTGAAAAATTTGATATTCCAAAGTCGCCCAAACAAGAAAATGCAAAATGGCTCCATAGCGCCCCCTAAGGTGAAAATTCACACTATTGACTGTCACGCCTGTACGCTTTGTCAAAATGACACAAAAATTGACACACACATGTATCTCAATAAGATCTACAAAAAAGTCAGCGCGGGCGTATCTGTCAAATGTACGGTTAAAGGGTTATTTCGCATTTTTTGCCGATCCGCACACATTGGAATTTCACTAACTCCTCCGAAGGCTTTCGTTCCACCGGCACCACATTTGCTCAGGCCAATCTACACCCCATGGCCATTAAAATTTATTCAAATCATGACGCTGCACCCCACGGTTTAGGTTCTAGGGGGCGCCAAAGATAACCCTAAAATCCACATTTTTAAAAGTCTTATAACTTTTTATTTTTGCCCTCACTGGCCTCCAAGTTTTCTAGGATGATGCAATGTCCAGCCATCAACACATTTGTGAAGGAATTTTTACTCCCCAAAAGAGCGCCCCCCCATGGCAGGAGAAAAAAGTCCATTTTTTTCTTGTCCCCTAAGGTGAAAATACACATTGTTGAGTGTCACGCCTGTACGCTTTGTCAAAATGACACAAAAATTGACACACACATGTATCTCAATAAGATCTACAAAAAAGTCCATGCGCGCGTATCTGTCTAATGTACGGTTAAAGGGTTATTCCGCATTTTTTGCCGATTCGCACACATTGGAATTTCGCTAACTCCTCCGAAGGCTTTCGTTCCACCGGCACCACATTTGCTCAGGCCAATCTACACCCCATGGCCATTAAAAGTTATTCAAATCATGACGCTGCACCCCACGGTTTACGTTCTAGGGGGCGCCAAAGATAACCCAAAAATCCACATTTTTAAAAGTCTTATAACTTTTTATTTTTGTCCTCACTGGCCTCCAAGTTTTCTAGGATGATGCAATGTCCAGCCATCAACACATTTGTGAAGGAATTTTTACTCCCCAAAAGAGCGCCCCCCCATGGCAGGAGAAAAAAGTCCATTTTTTCTTGTCCCCTAAGGTGAAAATACACATTGTTGACTGTCACGCCTGTACGCTTTGGCAAAATGACACAAAAATTGACAATCATGTGTATCTCAATTAGATCTACGAAAAAGTCAAAGAGCGTGTATCTGTATAATGTACGGTAAAAGGGCTATTTTGCATTTTTTGCCGATTCGCACACATTGGAATTTCGCTAACTCCTCCTAAGGCTTTCGTCCCACTGACACCAAATTTGCTCAGGCCAATCTACACTCCATGGCCATTCAAAGTTGTAAAAATCATGACGCTGCACCCCACGGTTTACGTTTTAGGGGGCGCCAAAGATGACCCAAATATACATTACAGTAGACAAAGTAGTTTTGCCCACTGAGTGGCGGCAAAGGGACTTGTCTGTGGAGTCTGTGAGTCACTATTGGCCGTTTTTGACTACTTTAGATTTTACCTTTATATTTCCTCTTACAAAATTTTTACCTTGCCTTGCCTGGTATCATTTTTTTCAGCACAACCTCACCTGTGTCAATTTACAGTTATTTTATCATTTTGACATACTATATTTACACATTGGACCCAAATTCACACACAAAACATAAAATCCGAGTGGAAAAAAGTAACGTTTTTACTGTGAAAACCACAAATATGTGTGATGAACTGTTTTTAAAACTTAAACTTCAAATAAAAATTGTAAACTTCAAAACATATGCAAATTTTTAACAAAGAACATAGTAATTTACCTCTATTGACATCAAAATGCAGGCAATGGCCCAGGTGTTCTTTGTAAAATTATTTACAAAACACTGTATAGTCTCACAAATGTCACTTTTTATTTATGCCACTACAAAAAAACATGATGTAAATGATGCATGATGTAAAACATGATGTAAAAAACTTGTGTAGATCCTCCTCTATGTTAGTCCATGTGTAATTTTTCCATAATTCTTTGTTTTTTGCAGCATTTTTGTTAGTGTAACTGCAGATTGTGCTGACAGTGTCTATGGCAAAAAAAAAAAAAAATTAAAATGCCTCAACATGAACCCCTGGCGGTCTCTGAGGGTGAAACCTGCTAACTGCTGCAGCTCTGTCAGCTTCAGTCTCCCATGCAGAGCTCGGAGCGCATGTGTGGCTCTGCACCCTTAGCAGCGTTGCTAACTCCTCAGTAAGGAAAGCCTGCTTCATGTCAGAGTCTCTAAACTCCAGAAGAAGTCGATAAAAGTCACTTTCTTTCTAAAAAAAGTCGTTAGGGGGTCTGAAAAGTCATTGAATCTAACAACAAAGTCGCTAGGTTTGCAACTACGTGTCCCAGACTGCATCCCTGCTGAGAGTCCCTCCCTCCCTTCTCATATTGCAGGAAGAACGTAAGTTCCCGCCCCTTGTCAATCAGTCACCATATAATTTTGGATTGGTTGTTGTGGTGAAGTTTTCCACCAATAGGAGAGATGTTGTGGTGTGTTTTTTTTTTTCCTTTGGCAAGCCTTTTCCGCCTGTAAGACCTGTCGCTAATGTCTGCATGCTATGTTTTCCTGTCTCATACAGCGCGATCGAGCGCCGAACGTGATCAAAATAAGCAGAAAAAAAGTATCGTGGACATAATTTATCATAACTCTGGTTTTATTTGGCCTATCAACACAATTTAAAAACTGGTATATAGGTTGAGGTCCTCACTTTTGAGATAAATTGAAACGGAGAGTCAACGAGGCTCCGTCTTGCAGCTACATCCGGTTAAATATGTCATGTGACTTGAACGCACACACACACACACACACACACACACAAACACACGCACACACACACACTCAGAGTCTGGTTTTTAGCACCTGCAAAAACATGCTATTTACATATTTGACAAGAATGCAGAGGCTCCTTTTGCCCCTGAAAAAAATCAAATTTCAAACACAACTTGACTGGTCATTTCTCCAAAAGACAACCATGAAGCTCCATCCAAACCTGAAGCAGGCAGTTGGTGCATGTGTACAGTAACCTGAGGGGAGTGAGGTGACTGCTTCTGAGGAGAACATGAGCAGTGAAGATTCACCTTAGAGCTAGAACAGAGACGTGCACATGATTATACAGGGGCAGGGGCTCAAGTTTTTTCCAGTTGTTTATACAATATGGAAATTAATGTGAAATTAAAAAACAAAGTATTAATAGAAAGGTAATGACTGTCCTGTGTAGGTGACAGTGATATCCAATAGGCTAGGCACTCACGAGGCTGGCTGTGGCAAGTGTAAGTGAAAGCAACACGCACTGGCAGGAAGAACAGCAAACGCCGATGAAGGAAAAGGGTCTTTGCAGTGATGGGCGTTACCAGAGAGGGCGATGGCCAGAGGACACAAATGGGACGGGGAGGCAGCGCGTTGGGGGGGGGACGCGACACAGCTCGGGCCCGCCAGTGCCCCAACGGGGTCCTAGTTCTTTCTTCTTTCTTTCTTTCTTTAGGGCCCGAGCGTAGCTGCTAAGCAGCTGCGAGAGCCCTATTATTCCCCAAGTGGTTTTTCTTTGTTTCTTTCTTTCTTCTTTTTCCTCCCCTTTGAACTGGAAAATGGCCCACTTCCCACTGGCGAAAACTCATGAAATTTGGCAGGATGACCGGGCCTGGTGAAAAATTTGATATTCCGAAGTCGCCCAAACAAGAAAATGCAAAATGGCTCCATAGCGCCCCCTAAGGTGAAAATTCACACTATTGACTGTCACGCCTTTACGCTTTGTCATATTGACACAAAAATTGACACACACATGTATCTCAATAAGATCTACAAAAAAGTCAGTGCGGGCGTATCTGTCAAATGTACGGTTAAAGGGTTATTCCGCATTTTTTGCCGATCCGCACACATTGGAATTTCGCTTACTCCTCCGAAGGCTTTCGTTCCACCGGCACCACATTTGCTCAGGCCAATCTACACCCCATGGCCATTAAAAGTTATTCAAATCATGACGCTGCACCCCACGGTTTAGGTTCTAGGGGGCGCCAAAGATAACCCTAAAATCCACATATTTAAAAGTCTTATAACTTTTTATTTTTGACCTCACTGGCCTCCAAGTTTTCTAGGATGATGCAATGTCCAGCCATCAACACATTTGTGAAGGAATTTTTACTCCCCAAAAGAGCGCCCCCCCATGGCAGGAGAAAAAAGTCCATTTTTTCTTGTCCCCTAAGGTGAAAATACACATTGTTGAGTGTCACGCCTGTACGCTTTGTCATATTGACACAAAATTTGACACACACATGTATCTCAATAAGATCTACGAAAAAGTCAATGCGCGCGTATCTGTCAAATGTACGGTTAAAGGGTTATTCCGCATTTTTTGCTGATCCGCACACATTGGAATTTCGCTAACTCCTCCTAAGGCTGGCGTTCCACCGGCACCACATTTGCTCAGGCCAATCTACACCCCATGGCCATTAAAAGTTATTCAAATCATGACGCTGCACCCCACGGTTTAGGTTCTAGGGGGCGCCAAAGATAACCCTAAAATCCACATATTTCAAAGTCTTATAACTTTTTATTTTTGTCCTCACTGGCCTCCAAGTTTTCTAGGATGATGCAATGTCCAGCCATCAACACATTTGTGAAGGAATTTTTACTCCCCAAAAGAGCGCCCCCCCATGGCAGGAGAAAAAAGTCCATTTTTTCTTGTCCCATAAGGTGAAAAAACACATTGTTGACTGTCATACCTGTACGTTTTTTCATATTGACACAAAATTTGACAATCACATGTATCTCAATAAGATCTACAAAAAAGTCAGTGCGGGCGTATCTGTCAAATGTACGGTTAAAGGGTTATTCCGCATTTTTTGCCGATCCGCACACATTGGAATTTCGCTAACTCCTCCGAAGGCTTTCGTTCCACCGGCACCACATTTGCTCAGGCCAATCTACACCCCATGGCCATTAAAAGTTATTCAAATCATGACGCTGCACCCCACGGTTTAGGTTCTAGGGGGCGCCAAAGATAACCCTAAAATCCACATATTTAAAAGTCTTATAACTTTTTTTTTTTTGACCTCACTGGCCTCCAAGTTTTCTAGGATGATGCAATGTCCAGCCATCAACACATTTGTGAAGGAATTTTTAATCCCCAAAAGAGCGCCCCCCCATGGCAGGAGAAAAAAGTCCATTTTTTCTTGTCCCCTAAGGTGAAAATACACATTGTTGAGTGTCACGCCTGTACGCTTTGTCATATTGACACAAAATTTGACACACACATGTATCTCAATAAGATCTACGAAAAAGTCAATGCGCGCGTATCTGTCAAATGTACGGTTAAAGGGTTATTCCGCATTTTTTGCTGATCCGCACACATTGGAATTTCACTAACTCCTCCAAAGGCTTTCGTTCCACCGGCACCACATTTGCTCAGGCCAATCTACACCCCATGGCCATTAAAAGTTATTCAAATCATGACGCTGCACCCCACGGTTTAGGTTCTAGGGGGCGCCAAAGATAACCCTAAAATCCACATATTTAAAAGTCTTATAACTTTTTATTTTTGACCTCACTGGCCTCCAAGTTTTCTAGGATGATGCAATGTCCAGCCATCAACACATTTGTGAAGGAATTTTTAATCCCCAAAAGAGCGCCCCCCCATGGCAGGAGAAAAAAGTCCATTTTTTCTTGTCCCCTAAGGTGAAAATACACATTGTTGAGTGTCACGCCTGTACGCTTTGTCATATTGACACAAAATTTGACACACACATGTATCTCAATAAGATCTACGAAAAAGTCAATGCGCGCGTATCTGTCAAATGTACGGTTAAAGGGTTATTCCGCATTTTTTGCTGATCCGCACACATTGGAATTTCACTAACTCCTCCGAAGGCTTTCGTTCCACCGGCACCACATTTGCTCAGGCCAATCTACACCCCATGGCCATTAAAAGTTATTCAAATCATGACGCTGCACCCCACGGTTTAGGTTCTAGGGGGCGCCAAAGATAACCCTAAAATCCACATATTTCAAAGTCTTATAACTTTTTATTTTTGTCCTCACTGGCCTCCAAGTTTTCTAGGATGATGCAATGTCCAGCCATCAACACATTTGTGAAGGAATTTTTACTCCCCAAAAGAGCGCCCCCCCCATGGCAGGAGAAAAAAGTCCATTTTTTCTTGTCCCATAAGGTGAAAAAACACATTGTTGACTGTCATACCTGTACGCTTTGTCATATTGACACAAAATTTGACAATCACATGTATCTCAATACGATCTACGAAAAAGTCAATGCGCGCGTATCTGTAAAATGTACGGTTAAAGGGCTATTTTGCATTTTTTGCCGATTCGCACACATTGGAATGTGGCTAACTCCTCCTAAGGCTTTCGTCCCACTGACACCAAATTTGCTCAGGCCAATCTACACCCCATGGCCATTCAAAGTTCTAAAAATCATGACGCTGCACCCCACGGTTTACGTTCTAGGGGGCGCCAAAGATGACCCAAATATCCACATTCTTAAAAGAATCCACATCCCCCCCCCCCCCCCCCATCCCCCAACCCCCAACCCCCAACCCCCATGGCAGGAGAAACAGTCAAGTTTTTCCTGCCCATCACTCAATGGCTCAATCGCATCACTCTCCCGGCAACACCGTAACAAGGAGCAACTTGCCGTTTGGATATATCCTAGCTGTGTTTGTGCCCTCACTCATGGTCCAGACTTTTTTCAAATAGGACATGTAGTTTGTCTGCAGCGAGTGTTTTGGTAGAAACTGCGCCTCCCATTCATTATAATGGGAAATGACCACAGACAAGTGCGCACACCATCTTTTGACCTTGAGTGTGACGCGATCGGGAGGGGGAGGCGGTCGCGCTGGGGGCGGCCGACGCGGCTCGGGCCCGACAGTGCCCCACCGGGGCCCTAGTTCTTTCTTCTTATTTTTCCTCCCCTTTGAAGGGGAAAATGGCCCACTTCCCACTG